CAGAGGGGTCGTGTCAAAACCCAGATGTGAGGGGGGTCGTACTGAGGTGACTGTCATCGCCTGCGCATCACTAGCGATGACTCCCTCACGACCTCACGCCTGGCGGGGGCGTGCCCATACTGTATAAGCCCTTAACAGATACTCCAACCATATACCTTCTCTTGCAGCCACACAATAAAGGCGTTCTACTCTCTCTTTGTACATAGACTTCCTCTCTCACATTAAATCCACTGAACCACCGCAAGGTGCATTTTAAAAGGGCCCAACATAGCCCAAGTCTCAAGACACCCGCAACAGCTTGGTGCATCGGCTTAAATACGCCAAATTCTCCCGTGTCAAAGCGTCGCAACTTTGAGGCCTGGAGTCGAGACAGCTCATTGAGCAAATTTCATAGGTCGATTACAAGACCTCGAATCTTCTGATTCATAAGTCTCCCGTCATAGTACCTGGAGCAACCTTTCTGCAAAACAGCAGACCAAACCTCCCGTACACAGTACTTGGAGTAAATTCGCTAGCTTTCTAGTGAACTAGGTATCTCAAAAAAAAGAGATACATTCCAAATTCAACAGAAAAATGGCGCTACAGTTTTATAAGACGCCTATTATCTTTAGTGCGAGAACACTCAAAAGTTTAGTATTACGTTATAAGGAGTACACCTCCAAAACAGACTTCCCTATGATAGATGAGGAAAACTACGAAAAATGTAGATCCACCATAGCCCTACTGCAAAGTGGTATACAGCAACTCAAAAGCGGCCGAGAAAAATTGGAGAAAAAGTTCGCAGAAGTTAGAGAAGAGTTCAAAAACTGCAAGACTAAGTCCGAGAAAAAGGATTTAGCAACAGAAATTGAACAAATAGAAGAAGAGTCGGGTATAAACGTGGTGATAGCCGAATCTGAAGACCTGAGTTTCATGCTAGCAGCACGCCTTGACGAAGCAAGGTGCGCCAGAGACAGAATGAATGTCAAGCTAGGGTATATAACTCAAAAGGCACAAATTGAAAATACTGAGTCTGAGAGTCACGAAGCACAAACTATCCCAGATGAGGATAGAATCAGCACCGAATGTGCAGAAAACAGCGCATCATCAAGCGCACCTAATTCGGAGCAAATTCAACGTGAAAACTCCAACATAAAAACCTCCGGTAGGTCTATAAAACCCCCACAAGCATCTCTGCCAAAATTCTACGGTAATTCAGAGGACTTTCCTGAATTTTGGGCAGTTTTTGAGACTCTTGTCCATAAAAGTACCGAACTTGATGTTATGGAGAAAATTCTTTTGCTCAAAGAAAGCCTCAAAGGTAGAGCCCAAAACACAATAAAAGGGATACAACTTATTCCAGATAATTACAACTGGATTATCCAAACCTTACAGGAAAATTACTGTAATCAGCCCGTTAACCGGTCACAAATAATTCAAAAACTGGTAAATTTGAAACCAGCCATCAACTCTGCAGACAATTGCTCTGCCGTATTGGACCAAATTCAGGTTCTTATCAACCAAATGATATCCGCAGGGTACGATGTGCGAAAAACCTGCGATCCAATATGGTGCGAAACCATCCTGGCCAAATTCCCTCAAGATGTTGTCAAGCCTGTTCTGATATCAGGCCAATCTCAAGTTAACCAGACAACAGAAGATCTAATGGGCCATCTCAAGAAAGAGATTGCCGCCAAGCAGTATATCGAGAACAGACTTGGCCACCCCATAGAAAGCAGATCTGGCCAGGTACTCAAAAACAAGGGCACCCTGCCGCGAGAAAAATACACTCCGCGACCTCAATCTGGCGACGAGTGTGTGTTTTGCGGCAGATACAACCACACGTCAATGGCGTGTCGAACGGTGACCGACCAGAACAGTCGCCGTAAATCATTAAAAGAGGGGAACAGGTGCTGGAAGTGTGGTTCAAGCACGCACAATAGCTACAACTGCCAAAAATCAGACTGTTCCTTATGCGGACAAAAACATCATCCAAGTTTGTGCTTTAAAAGGGAGACAACTTCTCCTGGACATAATTACCCTCCTCGAAACGCTAATCAGAGGAGCACAAATGCTGGACAGACCTCGTCTAAGCCATTTTTCCCTCAAAACAGGGATCAAAGACCAAATTACGGTACCGACCGTAGGAAATTCTCTAACAACCTACACACCGAATCAGAGATAATTCCACCTGCAATTTCGCAGCAAAATCACAGTTCATCACAGCTTGTTCTGATGACAGCCGAAGGCAATCTTTGGAGTTTTAAAAAGCAGGAATACGTTAAAGCGCTGTTCTTTTTCGATTCCGGAGCCCAAAAAACGGTGATTGAAGAGAATCTAGCTAACGAACTAGGTCTACCGAAATATTCTACAGAGATCTGCACTATGTCAGGAATCGGAGGTCATATTGAAAACTTCAAAAGCGACATAGTGCTGACAAAGATAAATACAGCCTTTGGCGAGGAAATAGAGCTTAAGATTCAAACAAAACCTGTTTTAACGAACGGTTTTCCAAGTGTCAAACTGACCGCAGCAGATGTAACATTTTTGAAGGAAAATAACATTTATCTGGCCAATTCGAAACTTCGTGGAGAGCATCAAAAGCCCCACATTCTCGTTGGTTTAGACTATTACCATGACCTAATATCGGGTCCAAACCATACACAAAAAACGCCGTCAGGCCTTCAAATTACAAAAACCGTCTTCGGACCAACCGTATACGGTAAAGGGCTTCTGACAGCGGAAAACCTAATCAATAGTACCTATTATGGGCTTACGGCCGTAATTGAGCAAACTGAGCAGGAAATACTGCAAAAAATGTTCGAACTCGACGGTCTTGGCATCTCAGAAGATGAATGTCATAAAGATGACAAAATTCACAACTATTTGGATCAATATTCCAAGCTAGTTTCTTTCAAAAATGGTTATATAACTGCACCTTTTCCTCTCAAAGATAACATCTCAGAATTGGAGGACAACTACTGTGTAGCGATTCGGCGACTCGAATCCCTTCAAAAAACTCTGCAGCAAAACCCCGAACAACGCATTTGGTGCTGCGAAATTCTTCAAAAATATGTAGAAGAAAATACAATCGAACCCTTCCTGACAGCCGAAAAGGATGCGGTCGGAACGTACTACATGCCACATTCAGGTGTGTGGAAGCCAAGTAAAAAAGTACCGCTCAGAATAGTTTTTGATGCTTCATCAAAAAGGAGGAACAAGCCTTCCCTTAATGATGTGATTCACAAAGGCGAATCTTTTGTCAATAAAATCCATGATATTTTACTCGCATCAAGAACGAAAAAGATCATCCTAATGTGTGATATCGAGGCAGCTTTTACGCAAATCCATCTCGTGGATTCTCATAAAGATCTCTGCAGATTTTTATGGGTAAAAAATATCAATTTACCACCTACTAGAGAAAATCTAATTCACTATAGGTTTAAAAGGCTTCCATTTGGAGTAACTGCCTCACCAAGTATACTGAATATGGCACTTACATCGTTCTTGATTAGCGAAGGTTCAACGCTAGCAAACGAAATCGCAAGCAATCTATATGTTGATAACATCATGATGCAGGCAGAAACTTCAAAAGAAGCCATGCAAAAGTACAGAGAGTCAAAAAAGTTGTTCGAAAAAATCGGCATGAATTTGCGGGAATATGTCTCAAATTCACATGAAGTTAATTCTCTAATACCCGAAATTGATAAACTTCAATGCACCTCAATGAAAATACTCGGTGTAAACTATAATCAAGAACAAGATTCTTTTACGGTCACTACGAATTTTCGACCTATGAAGGATTTAACCAAAAAGGACATAGTCAGTGAAATCAATTCTGTCTACGACCCTATTGGGGTCGCTGGTCCACTTCTCGTTCAGTTAAAATCACTGATGAGAGAGGTTTTCAATTGCAAAACAGAATGGAAAACCCGTCTCAATCAAGAAATCTGTGACAGATGGAACAAATTAACGAAACAGGTCGATAATGCATCCATCATTATCCCTCGTTTCATTTCGGGTCAATTCTCGACTGCGAAAAATCGCCTCTGGATATTCGCGGATGCCAGCAATATAGCAATGTCAACCTGCGCTTACTTACAGTGCAAATTAACAGGCGAGGTCACGCCATTGATTAGCGGAAAAACAAGATTAACGCCAAAAAAGATAAAACAAACTATTCCGCGTCTTGAATTGGTTGCGATTCTAATGGCAGCAAGACTATGCAACAACATCAGAATGAAGTACGATGTGCATGAGATCTCGATTGCGTCTGATAGTGAAATCGCTCTTTGTTGGATAAAAAGTTCCAAAAAGTTACCAGTTTTTGTTGAAAATCAGCGCAAAAAGATCGTTGAAATTAAGACCAAACTTGAAACTGATGGCATATACGTTGATTTCTTTCATGTTGCTACTGCTCACAATCCAGCAGATGCTGGAACTAGAGGATTGAATTCCAAAGAAATAAACGATAGTGACTGGGTGAGAGGTCCACGTTGGCTCGAAAATCACCCCGAAACGTGGCCATTAACAAAAATGGAATCAATTGAGATTATAACCGAGGAATTGGAATCGATTACACTTCCAAATATCGAGGTTATTGCAAAAACCGAAAGCAAAGAAACGCTTTTTGATTTATCGCGCTTTTCCAGCCTAAGTAGGCACTACGAGTTGTATCTCGAGTCTGCAAAATAGCAAAATACTGGACTCACTTAACGAACAAAAATCGTAATGTCACTATAGAACTTCGAGCGATCTCAAAATTCACTACCGAGAAGGAAATAACAAGTACCGATATCGACTTGTCCGAACACATAATTTTTGTTCAGGAACAATGTAACGAAAGCTTTGTATCTCTACAAAAGCGTTTTCCGGATAAGAAATTGATAAGAGACAAAAGTGGGTTAATCAGGCATGAGTCTCGCCTTCAAAATGCCGCTCTACCTCAGGACACCAAGTCACCAATATATGTACCTCCAAAATCGGAACTCGTTCGATTAATTGTGCAGCAAATTCACTGCGACAATGCTCACTGCGGCAAAGAGCATACGCTCACTATCGCGCGCCAGAGATTCTGGATTCCGCGGGCCTCAAGTGCATTCAAAAAGTATTTGAAAAACTGCACCATTTGCAAAAAATATCAAGGGCTACCATTAGGTGCACCTATTATGCCTGCTCTTCCCATAGACAGAGTGATCGCATCAACACCATTCCAAAACACAGGATGTGATTTTATGGGACCATTTACTTCAAAAACACAGGAGAAAATGTATGTAGCATTATACACCTGCCTGACAACTAGAGCGGTCCATCTCGAAGTTGTGGAAAATATGACAACGAGCGCCTTTCTAAACAGTTTTATACGATTTATCTCTCGAAGAGGTGTTCCAAAACTAATGCGCACCGACTGCGGATCTAACTTCAAGCAAGGTGAGCAAATAATAGCCACAATGTTTGAAAATGACGAATCATCAGGAACTTCTCTGATGTCCTATTGCGCAACAAGAGGAATTAAATGGATATTCAATCCACCAGCGTCCCCCTGGATGGGTGGCGTTTGGGAAAGACTCGTGGCATCTGTCAAAAAGGCACTGAATAAATCAGTGGGACGTAAAAAGTTGAGTTTTACGGAGATGTCCACGGCAATGGCAAGAATAGAGGCAATTCTCAATACGAGACCTCTAACAAAACTAAATCCGGACGATGTCACAAAAATTCCTCTACGTCCAATAGATTTTCTTCGAACAAATGTCAAATTTTCCCTTCCGGAGGGAGGAAACTTTGAAAACATTAATGATCCAACCTATGATCCTGAACTTATTCAATCAAGAGAGCAAGCCGTGGAAGCAATGCGCTTTTCTGAAGCAATATCAGACAAATTCTGGGATTGCTGGAGATACGAATACCTCACACTATTAAGAGAAGTGCAAAAGCAACATCTGAAACAACCTCGGCACTTAACAAGATCTTGCCCCGAGACTGGAGAAATCGTATTAATAGAGCAAGACCTCATACCCAGAGGTAACTGGCCCTACGGCAGAGTAATTGAAATAATTACTTCAGCTGATGGTTTCGTGAGATCAGCGAAAATATTGATGCCTAATCACAGGGTCATTCAAAGACCATTGAACAAGATTTATCCTCTTGAAATTCGCAGTGTATCCGAAAAACCCAGTTCTGGCGAACAGGTTGCAGAAGAAACCAATGAGAAACTGCCTACAGAGTTCAAAACAAGCGAACCATCACAAAAGATTGCACCAAAAACCAGGCAAATTCTTCCTAGAGCATCGAAGACACGTGCTCATAACCTTTTTCGAAACATGGATAATGATTCAAACCATGCAAATGGCGCGATATCCAGATCGTCATCCTTGATATTCCTTACAGTATTGTGTGCAATGATAAGCCCAACCATTGCGATCAATAACTCTACTATAATATCTTGCTCGAACGGAGTAGTTAGTGTGCCGCCATTGAAGGGCTGGTTCGAGTTATGCATCGATAACGATTGTCAATCGATGAACAATACAACACGTTATGTCAAATACTTACTACCCATATCTCCAACTGAAAAAGGAGCTGAAGTGCGCCTGCGCACTCTCAGCAGTGATGGGGTACAAGAACAACAATGGCTCTGCGACAGACCAAAGTTCTGCGAACATCAGTATTTCCTCTCAAAAAGTTTATTAGGAAACCCCCATTGCTGGCCAGCTGGAGCCATCGCCTCCTCAGCTGTGCTAATTTATATCATAATAGCAGTGATCATGGGCGCAATATGGATTACCGTTAAAATCACTAATAAGCTAAAGTCTCCTGAAATAGCTGGCAAACCAGAAAGGAATGAACCCGAAATTCCAACAGCACCAGTCTGCAGTTTCGAATTGACACCACTTCCTAGTACACTACTCGTTTTGTGTACCCTAATATGTCTGATGTCCACCACAGGCGCATGTCAACACGGTTTCATGCGCCACTCAGCTGACCTCGTATGTAATGAGAATAATCAATGCCATCTAGAATATAGCAGAGAACTTCTATTCAACAGACTCCAGTCGGAGCTATGTATTGAAATCTTGCACGGTAACAGAACCGTTGGATCAGCAAAATTCACCAAGAAGTCCATTGACTTTGAATGCTCGAAAGCCACAGAGTTTTTCACAAGACCTACAAAACTATCAGTTTACCACGCTAAGCGCTGCGCCACAGCAGGCTCATGTCAGAACAACAAGTGTGAAACAATCAAGCAAAACGAAACAGTTCAGGAATTGAGACATGCTTCAAAATATCCTGGCTACTCCGGCTGTATGAACAGCTGCGGAGGAATCTTCTGCGGTTGTGGTCTGCCGCTTCCTAGTTGCTGGTTTTATAAAATTGCTCATAGACCAATATCAGATCGAATATTCGAAATCGTACAGTGCCCTCACTGGACCACAACGGTCAAACTAGAAATCGAAGTAACAATAGCCAATCGAACAGAAAAGGTTGAGCGATCGTTTACGCCATATGTGGCTAATAACATCGATAGCTTCAACATTACAATCATATCAATACAAAGGCCATTATATTCGTTAGAAAACAAGCGCTTCGCAATTGCAAAAGATAAGTCATATCTCCTGCCACCTAATTTCCAAGTTGCAGTCGCATGTAATACACCTACTCAAGCACTGAGAGAGTTCTCTACCTGTTCCAATAGAATTCAGTGCAACTGTGGAAATTCGCCACGTAACTGTCAGTGTCCGGACGATTCGTTCCAAAAACTTTGTGACAACCCACAAAGCACGCTACCTCTGAGAACACCCCACGCAACTATAAATGTTCGCGAGGGAAATATCGTTGCAACGTCCAACGAGGAGGAAATGGTACTACGAATTGAGTCAAAGATGCTACAAGATGTGGTAGCAGAACTTATTATTAACCAAGAATGTGGCTTCAAAATATCAAAGCTCACAGGATGCTACGACTGCACACTAGGTGCTCACTTTACAGCCATTTGCAAGTCACCAGCGAAAGCTACAGTAACGGTAACTTGCGAATCTCAGCAATTCTTGGTCACTTGTGGACCTTCAGAAGAAGAAAATGAAATCATTCTCAATTTTAACCATCCTATCGTGAACGAACAATGCAATGCCCATTGCTCTGATAGGCCTACTAAATTTCTTTTGAACGGTACTCTGCATTACCAATTAACGAAACCTCAGGACATTTCAGTTTTCGAAATGAAAGACCATGGGGTACCTCTGAAACACCAATGGTTCAGCGATATTAGTCTACCTAATATCGATCCTTTTCTGCACACCATTACCAGTCACTGGAAACTAACTTTAGCTGCGCTTGGTACAGCACTTGGCCTTGCCACCCTCACTTACTTGGGAGGTCCAATCGTTTGCATATATCTACTTTCCTTTGCCAACTCTATACTTTGTACAGTTATGAAGAAAATGTGGGCTCTGTTCCTCTTTTTGGTAAATAGAGTGAGAGCTAAACACGCAACTGCAGAAACTGCAATTGCATGATCGGCACGACAATGCTTTCGCACGACGCACCCAAAAATAAAGATGTCAGTTATTCGGAGGACATCTTCGAACTCCGGTAAAATTAGAGATGTCTATTATAGACGGACATCTCCATGGACATGTCTACCATAGGTAGACATCTCCAACGCCAAAAGAGGGGTCTGAAATATTGGTTGCAGAGAACCCCCCAATCCCAATACTACCGCCGTGCGACGCATTTGCTGACAGTGCCCAATTACCCTTTCCTTATTTGACGCGGGTTTACAAACCGACGTCAACACGTACACGGGTGTATAATCAATAATTTGATCTTTGATCTTATCACTAATAAAAGTATCTAGTCACAATTTCAATCCTGAGAATGTATAGACTCAGATCTAGTAACACAGCACTATTACTACAGTATTTTCATAACACACATCTGCCCACTTCTGCTAACCCCATTGGCCAATGCCAGTAATGCCGCCACATCTCAAGGGCCCTTTAACAGATGGTCTCTCTATAAGCACCCTTAGAGGGGAAAGGTAGCCAGACAAAAGCCTACGCACAACTTTATGACAATGCACAATTTTTATTTTTTCCCTAGAGCGAATTCTTAAAGGCGTGTTCTTACATACACACAAAAAATCGCGTATATAAGAAGGTTGGAATTGAGCAGAGCTTCATCAACATGTCGTTCACATCAGACTGCAAGAAGCTATCACCGACCTCGATCGCTGCGACATGGCGACTCTCGCTGCACAATATTCTGCCACGGCTCGAAGCGATAGATGCCGCTCTATCCAGACTCGGAGCGATAGAAGCTGCCTGTCAGACTATTATGGAGCGCACTACTCCAAAGTCGACATGCAGCTTCTGCCCCTGGAAGAGAATCGCGGACTCTCACTACACCAGCCGGTGTAGCCGGTACCCCGATCCGGTATCACGTACGGCCAAGCTGCAAAGTTGCAGCTATGTCTGAAATGCCTGAAACCAGGGCATGAAGACGCCTGCGAGGTGAAGTGTAGCGGTTGTTGGTCTCGACCACAACTTGCTGCTCTGTCACCAACGCAGGCCCATGCAACAGCAGCCTCACAAGCGTCCCCGCTTCTGAGGCTGCATCGTCAACGAGCAGCACTATCCAGTCTACATTAGTCCCAAATCAACGAGCTGTACTTCGAGCGCTCGTTCTTTTCAACGAGCAGTCCGATCGAGCAGTCCCAAATCAACGAGCTGTACTTCGAGCGCTCGTTCTCATCAACGCTCGACGACGACAATTGAGATATTATTTCATAATGCATTGTTGGGACCATTGGTCCAATTTGTTCGTTCGCCCCCCGCCGCCGGAGTATCATCGCCTGCGCATCGCAGGCGATGATCCCCTCTCGGCCTTACGTCTGGCGGGGGCGGACCACCTGTATTAAGAGGCAAAAAGCCATTATAACTTTGCTGTTTACCTACGTGCTGCTCGATAAACACGTGCTCTATCTTTCCTGTTCTCTCACTCTTCACAAATTCCACTGAACCACCGCAAGGTGCATTTTAAAAGGGCCCAACATAGCCCAAGTCTCAAGACACCCGCAACATTGAGCATTTCCGTGACTCCGATGTTCCGTGCTGCCCCCCCCCCACCCCGAGCCACCTTGCGCCATGATCAGTTAATCCATTTTAGAAAACAACAAAACTAACAAGAACTCATTTAGAAACATTTCATTAGTAGATTCAGAGAGCAGCACGTACATCACACGTGCCCGTGCAAAACAAATGGGAGGGGAACAAAATATTAGGAAATATTTGGCATGAGAAGAAGGTGAGACGCAGACGGTAACGATAACAATCTACCCGGAAAGTGCAAACTTCATTTCAACACCGCCAACTAATGTCGAAACGCGGTAAATCGTTCAAACAATGAATTTTTCGCGCCATTTGCACGCGCATGGTGCACGACGAAAGATTGCGGAATTGAATATTTCTGTGAATTTGAGACGGACATGTATAACTATACAAACGAACGCTACTTTCTAGTCGAACACTCCGGTCAAACTTGAAATTAGTGGCTTTTACGTTCTCTTGGAATTTCCTTATGCCGTTCTCGTCGCATGATCCAGGACCCAGCTTCAGGGCCAATGCAGACATCCACCGATTGGACTGACTCCGCGTTGTTGAAGCGCGTTGTACGCAACTAAACACTAAACATTGTATTTGACGACCTGTGCGGCTGTGTTTGAACAGAACGACATGTTCAACATTTCAGATTAAAATTCTATGCGTTTCACTCGTTTCTTGCTCCTCTGTAGTTGTGTGTGTTTCGGCGGCCTACTCTGTGTTAAATTTCTGTTCATTCAGGTAGCACCCCAGAATGAAGAGGGTGAAGGAATTTCGCACTAAGCTCGGCGATGCGACAACTCCGAGGAAATCCATGGCAGGTAAGGAGAAGCTTTTTGGCACTGTTCCAGTATTAGTTACTCGAAATCTGAGTTTTATTTTCTGTTGGAATTATGCCTTCAGGAGTAATCCGAGGCCTTTATTACGAGTATGATATTTATTTTTGGCGCTGGCGCAAGTTGGCGTTACTTTATCTGGACGCCTGTTCCCACGAAACCCGGTGTAAACTTGAATACAGGGGCTATTTGGTCTTCTGTTGACGGATATGACATACGTTTTCAAGAAGTAACGCTCTTCAACGCTATTTTGTGTTCTCTTTGGCTCTCTCAGCGCCTAGGACAAAACTTATTGGCGAGGATACTTCGGTGAGGGTAAGCGCATCGTATGGCAATAGTTGAGTGTCGAGATTACAAGGTGGATGGCTTATTCACTTTGGGCCCTATCCTTTCCTAAGGAAGGGCGAAAATCTTCAAATTTTCTCTGTCTTATCTACTAGGGTCGCTCTGATCAGAGGCCCACATGTAATAAATGTAATGCATGAGTGGGGTAAAAGTAAATATGTGCGGAAAGTGACGAGACTATATCGTTCAGGCTTAGTCCTGATCCCAATCTAATCAGTGAGAGAGCGCAGACGAGCATAATCACCAAATGGCCCAAGCGCCAAAGATGATCATGATATTCATAGTTATGGTATCGAATTACCTCTACCAGGCGAAGTTTCGATGAAAACGAAGGCGCAATGTGGCTCGGGGGGGGGGCAACCGCCGCGCGCAAAATCCGTGAGTCAGGGGAAATGTAGCCAATTCAGGGCGGTGGGGGTGAGGGCAGTCACGTAGCATATGTGAGAAGCTGGAATGTTCGAGTTACACAACATCGCTGAGCCGCGCGCGGCGATTGGCCTCTTCCCCCCCCCCCCGAGCCACATTGCGACAAAACGAATATTTCGAGGTTTTCAAGTAGATATTAGTGGAAGATTACCAGCTCTTCTTTATCACATAACACTCGTACATATTTCTTGGTGTTCAACGTTGTCTTGCTTTCCTTTTAAAAACCACAGCGATGGTCCGTAAATGCTCGCAAATTTGGTATCGATCATTTTTTTGGCGGACCTCCTCCTTCGAAACATGAAAGAATGGCAGATTCTCGTTTGAGAAGTCAGTTTTACATAATGGTCAGCTGCGAGTGCGGCTGTACAGATAGTTTCGAATAAGGTACCACTTCAAAGACACGTTTTAAGATCGTACTGGTTTCGCACACGAGAACAGAATCATTAGCGCGAAAAGGGTCGGTAGTGAAGAAAAAAGAGATTTTGTCGAATACACTAAAGTTGAGAGCTTCCTCACCTTCGTATTGCGGCAGTACTAGTGAGGCACTGATCACGTAGAGAAGAGGATGACGCGAGAAAGTTCAATAGATAAGAGGGCGCAGACAGCAGTCTACTGACGAGGAATAGCAGCTATTGAAACTCTCCTTGCAAGGCCCTAGCACTTCTGTTGGGCGATTTTTATGCATGGGAGTGCCAAATCTATGACTTTTCCTCTTATGATCTATCCTACGTAACGGTGAGAATCGTTTCTCGACTTCTGCCTGCGCTGTATTTCTGAGGGGCTGGCTCCCTTTGTGCTAAGGCAGTGAGAGGCTGAGCGGAGGAGAGAGAGGTAGGCAAGAGAGCGTAATGAATGAAAAGCGCCGGCACAAGCTTATGCGAATTAGTAAAAAAGCAGTTGAAGCAATGCTGCAAGCACCTGGCGCCATGTCGCTCACACAGTCGAACCGAGAGATCGGGACGTCTGTGACTTTTCTATCCACCAAAATGGTTCATCTATCTGAAGCCATCATGGATTGTGACGTTAAATTGTTGGAGAGCGTCTCTGCGAGGATAACCTGGTTCTTAAAGTAATCCATGGCGAATCTCACTGGGGGCGCTGACTTCGTCGCTGGTAGAAGAAAGAGAAAATAGAACTACGTGAGAAAATTTCCCCGCAAGGATATCACCGGCTAGTACCCACATAGTGCCCTCCTTGCGTCTGTGTACCGGAGGAGCGTCCTAGTCATTCAGTCCTGTGGCTCTTATGTTGTAATGACCGGAGCCGCTGATTCAGCTTCAAATCTGGTAAAAGCTGTACGATTTCTCGCTTCTGTTCAATTTTTTTATGTGCAGCCCTTTTACTGAATGTGGTCAGTGTGGCAATTAATTTTTGATATTGAAACAAGTGCTGAGCATTTCTGGCTCATAGTGCTGTCATCACAGTACCATAAGCGAAGCAGGAAATCTGAAAAACGACTATGATATTCGTGACAAGTCACATCGTTATGACCACTGACTGATTACTGCCGTATTCGTAATTGTCTGCGGGCTTTCCCCCATTCTACGTTCTGTGGCTAAGCTTGACTTGTGCGTGGAATGTTGCACAAGTGCGAAAGGTACATTAAAGTATTGCATTCTCATGGTCAGTGTTTCCTTTTAATTTCTCGTTAACTCTTCTGATTTTGTACATTTTGTCTAGAACTCTTAAATGAATTCCTGGTGAACCTGAGGCTTGCAAAACGAAATGAATGCGCTTTGGGTCACCAAATATCGTAATGTTGAGGTGAAATGAGGAAATTCGGTAAGGCTGATGTCAGAGTCCGCGATCTTTCGCGCGATTTTCGCTATTTGCGCGATTTGCGCGATTGGCGCGACGGGTCACGGAAATCACAAGTGCCCCATCCATACTGCAAGATGTTCTCCGATCCCGCCATCACTTCTGCTTGATGGTTATGGTTCAATGGAGACTGCTCATGATTCCACTTATTTCATATCCAGTGTTTCAATTGTTCGAATGAAGCACTTGCAATTTTTGTGATTGGTTTGGTTTGATTCCTGAAAAAAATAGGAACGATTCAAGAGCATTTCAAAGACTAATAGACACTGGACATGAAACAAGTGGAACCACAAACATTTGTCTTCCAATCTTTACTGCCCGCAGCATGGATTAAAAAAACACCTCGCAGTATTTATCGGGCACTTCCAACTCCTGTGATCCATCGCAGGTTCCGCAAAAATGGCGAAAATCGCGCAAAGGATCGCGGACTCTGACATCAGCCTAAGGAACAGCTACATCATGTCAGTTCCAATAAAAGTTATTGCAGCCAAAACGTCAAAATCAAATGGAGCAATGATATCGCTTCTCCCCTTTCATCCGAAGTCGGTAGCTGCTGCCAAGGAAAACGAGGAGCAAGCTGAGGAATTCAGTCAAGCTTTCGAGAGGTGATCATTGAATCTAATTAGTGTAAACATTGGTAAACAATGAAATAGTTCTCCTCTGCTTCTATTTCACAGCAAGAAAAAGAAAAAAGGTAAAGAAGGGGCTACAGAAATGGCGATCTTCATTTTATTTCACTGAAGGACTGCTTTTATAAGCGCAGCTGTATACTTGAACTAAGAATAAGCTATACTGTGATGCACTTGTTTTAGTCGTTGGAAGTTTTTTCACTCTACATATCTTCTACTTAGGTTCCGTTTCGACCTCCTTGCTACACTCAAAGGCCAAAATCGAATAATTAAACACGAATTATGCAGTGCTCTAAAAATACTTGAAAGCGTGATTCGTCACATAGGTACAGTTCTTTTTTAACATTCCAAACTTGCTGAGGAAGCTTGGGCGCTGTTTCTATTCCAAAGAATTCCTTTTAGCCGATTCCAACGTTCATTATCGGATGCTGATGGCTGTGAATATCTTCAAAAATGTCAAGGACAAAATTTCTGATGGAGAGCGTGATCAAGCGAAGGCTGGATTGTTTCCTTCCCCAGATAGTTATGTCGAAGATACGACGAAACTAGTAGCCGAAGGTTAGTCTGGTCTGATTTTTTTTGTTTTCTGAAATGTTCATGTCTTTTCTACAGTTATTGCTCAAATTCGATCTATCATTGGTATGAAACAGTTGCATGAGGCTATAGCCTTTTCATGGAATGTTGCAAGATCGTCGAACAAATCACCTGATCCTGTTATTGTAGGGTCAGCCGAACAGATTCCGAAGTGACTATTTGTTGTTGTTTTTTTTTTCATGTGCTCTTATTTATTCGTAGTAACTGTATGACTTCAAGAGGCAAACCATCGGAGGTGACTGAGAATGTGATCAATCTCACTCTTTCGGCGCTCGAAATGCCCTCATTGTCTCACATGACTGGTGAAGAAACTAGCCGGTTAGTGCTCATTTTGTGTTTTTTCCTTCAACTTGTGTCAATCTTTAATGTGTTACTTTACTGAGTTCTCGCTGTAATCAAATATGGTATAAAGAGCCAATTTGGGTAATGGCTCCAACTCAAAATTCGAATTAATTTGTAGTTTGACAAGCGAGTTATGAATCCGGCAAAGTACATGCAATTATTCAGGATCTGCTTCCTCGATGAACTGCAATGGAACAATTCGGAGGTCGAGCAGAGCTTTGAAACGAGCGCTTCTCCCGTCATTGATGAGTTATGCGAGGAGACTCCATTGGACGTCGAGGAAGTAAATATTTTTTCCTTTCTTAAATACAAAAGCAACAGCTAACAAGGAGATAACAATTCAAAAAGCTGGCATGAGCATCATTACAAGTAACATCCGTTAGCATTTTGCAAATGAGATTTGCGTTTGGATGATTTCCACAATTCGTTTGCCTTTTTGTTGCAAATTTTACGATTAATACAGTGGTATTTCACCAAAACCGTTTCTTTTTTCGGAAGCTTAAACGTGTTCAAGGTCTAAGAGGCCATGTTGCGAAATCCGTTCCTTTATCTACAATGAGACAGCACCAGGGTATCCCAAATGAGTAAAGAAAACCATTTTGTCCATTTACCCAGGAGTAATGCTTTCTCACCGTTGTATTCTCAAGTAACAAAAGACTGAAGGTTATTCTCAAGAAGGAGTGATGTTAAATCGTGGCAATATGTTGGGTCACTGGTTAAGGGCATCACTGTATTTCGACCTTTGTTTTCTATGTAACACAGTGTCCGATCTGTTATCCAGTCTGAAATCTTGTCTAGAGCTCACGTTCCATAGTTTTGACTTAACATCGCAATCCGCGGTTCAAAGCAGCAGCAAACAATCGGTAACGAGCAAAAAGGTAAACTCTATTAAGTCCCATTACTGCGCATTGAATATGACCGCCTGGTGCACCTTTAGAATAGTTTTATCAGCAATATTTAATAAATTCTGGAAACCATCTCGTTTTAGCCCTGCTCTAGCTCTAGAGGAGCTCGATTGAATTGTGCAGATGTCGCTCAGTCTTTGAGAACATTTTTCCCAGAGAACTACGAAACATTAGCAAAACACTTGTTTGATTTGCTCGCTTCGGAGAGAACGAATGAGGAACTCCAAGGAGAGGTGAGTATTCTTGCCTGCTGTTCAATTTTATTCATTGTTTGGTGCTCTTTTCAGTAGTAGCGGCCACTGGCGTTACATATTTCTGTGAAAAAAGTGAATAAGGTCCTTTTTTCAAATCCATTTTGCAGTTGATTGACCTTCTTGGTTTCGATCACTTCGAAATGGTAGGAGGGATATTAGAGTCACGGTCGCAACTCATCAATGAACTGAACGCTTCGCGACACGAGGCGACCAAGTTGTCGAGTTATGCCCCTGAAAAGGTCTGTTTTCCTATTCTGCAGTTTTTTCATTCTTTGTACTCTTTCCACTTTTCACTCTGACCATGAGTTTACAACAGAGCCTCCTGATAACCTCTCCAGTCAGTGAGCTCGCGTTATTCAATGGCACGCGCCACAACTAGGTATTTGGTAATTACGCTCACTAATGAAGGTGCGGTGCAGAGTAAACTGGTTGTGAATGAAAAAGGAAAAGAAACTTTGGAAAAGCTGAAAATAGAGGCCTCTTCTTTTTTTAAGCTGTGAAAGGCTTCAATTGGGGAGGCCGTTCACGGACGCGAACAAGACAGTTTTTTTGTATTATTTAGTAATGGGCATGAAACACAGAACTGTAGCGTATTTCCGCTAACTAGGCCCTTGAATGGCAAAAGAAGGGGTGAAGAATGGTCCATGGTTCGATTCTTCGCACTGACAAGTTGCATTTTGAGCTGACACTACAAAATTGGTGCCATATGCCTAGTGCCAAGATTGGAGGTCTATTTATGATCAGGATTACACAAAGCTTTTACAAATAGGCGGTTGCCGACAAGGGAAAAGATGATGGGAAAAGTTGTGATTTTAGTAGTGCGAGAAAATTAAGGTTCTAGCCACTAAAAAGTGGTCCGTGGCTAAAGTTAGCAACGCCTGAGACTGAACGGCGAACGACTTAAGGCAACCTCGTCATTCTCTTCGAGAATGGAGAATGCCACGTTAGAGTGAGCAGTGGCAGAATTTTGAGGTTTCACTTTCTGTAAAAAATGAGAGGTCAGCTGATTAGTCCTTCTACTGACAAGGCTTCTTGACAGTAGAAGGTCACATAGGTGGTTCGGTCTCATACAAGAAAAAATTTTGGTTTGTGTCAATCATCTGGACATGTTGCTCTTTTTCCTCGCCAAGCCTACCTGGAAGCCGGCTGAGGGCATTTCCTGAAGTTAGGTCAAAAAGTTAGTCGCTACGCACTTTGAGTGAACATTTTCTTATGCGAGCAGTCGATGCCATGAACGAAATATACCACGTCACGCGTAGGAAGTGCAGTTTTTGACATAAATTTTTCCACCACATATTGGCCTTCAAAGTCGTTCAGGGAAATGACAATAGTTCTGTGTTCCGTGCACACTTCACCATGTTCTACAGAAAGCACTTGAGAAAGGCGGCTCGCTCTCAACGACATCCCCTCATAAGAAGTAGACGGCGAGATCAGAGCTAGCGGTAGCTGAGGAGAGAGAAAAGATTCGATTTGAAGCAAAAGTCTTGCGGATCAACTATACGGCACAAGTGTGGTACCGCCACAGTGAGCGTGCCCGCACCTACAGTCCATATCTTGCCATTTGAGAAGGCATATCACCGGACAGGACTGGGCTCCGTACTCGATATTATTCGCGCGGATAAGCTGTTTCCAGTATGTTTTGATTATTTCCAGCGAGTATTTTGGAAATAGCCCATATGCGCGACTTTGGTGGAGTGCGGTAGCCGCCGCGTCATGTCCAGTGACACTCCTACTCATGGTGAGACAGGGACTGCTGGGAGCGTAGAAAGATCAAGGTCTTAGCACCTGGCGTTTTGGTGACGCGTTTCGAGATGGCACGACATTGCAGTTGTCCAGCTGAAAGCTGAATGCGCAGAGGAGACCTCTCGAGAGATGATCGCTAGTGGTCGTGCTTTAACCCTTTGACGACCGTGTGGCTCGCCGGTGGGCCACACTTTCACTCGAAGGCGACTCGTTTTTCGTCTTTTATTTGGCATTTTTGAATGTTTTAAAGCTGCCCGTATACATTATCGGAAGCGCAAAACAATGTGCTCGTTACTAATAATGAAATTGTTGGAGTTTTGATGGATTTTGATGAAAATTTTTTAAAAGGATGTAGCAACGCACGCACAACGGCGGTCGTCAAAGGGTTAAAGGACGAATTCACGCTGGAAAAGCAACCCATTTCAAATTAACTTAGCGATGATGAGTGGTATATCAAAAGAGTAAGAGAAACGGCCCGAAACCCGAGAAATGGGACCCCTTCCTCGCCCGTTGACTTGAGCATTGATGCGGCTGTCATCTCTGTGCCCTCTTTAACACTAAGCTCTCTCACCTATCTAATCACTCGCCACGTACTTACCGATCTGCGGCGAGCGATCAGATGATCGGTGGGCGTGCACTGGCCCACCGCGCCAAGATTGAGCCTGAATAAGTCGCCAAGGTCAACTCCTTCGGTGCTAATTGCGCTTCAGTTTGCACCCTTAAGAAGTCCGCGGGTCTCTCAACTAGGTGAATTACCCCTTCTTCGACCTTCATTCTGATCATGATTTCGTCCTTTAACCACATTCACGACATCACTTCGGTCGCGTTGGGCGAACGCGATCTTCTGAGCGGTGCGGCCTCACCTCACATCCATGATTTTGTATTGTAAATGAAAAAAACTCGATTGTCACAAAAGAAATTCGGCAATTTTTAGTGCATAAAGGTTACCTAATGGTGGGCATAGTAGGATCTGATCAAAACGGCGAGTAGTGGTGATGAAAAGAGGTCACTTATTCATTTCCCACGCATTTGAAGTAAGCATTTAACTCGATTGTTCCAATCAGAACGCTTTTTTTCATTCATAGCGCTTTGTCTTACTTCTAGCACTCCATTCGTTTGTGGCAATAAAAAGAAAAAGAGAAAGTGATCAAATCAACGTTTCATTCGGCTAGGAGAAACTTCTCAAAATCAGAGCACATGTACGCTTTCGGTTAGTCCTGTCATTGATGGTTAAGTATTAGTCCCTACTCCATCCGTTAATATCGGAATTACCCAAGAAATAACGATACAAACGACAGACAAGCGTTCACTAGCTGGTAGCCCATGTGAGCTGCCATTCCCACGAGCACACTTTCTTGACAGGCCATATGGCCTGCCGTCGGCGTGAATGTATTGAGGGCATGAATTAGAGTTGTGAGTTCAGCTTTGCATAGTCGTGCGACATTAGCGTTGAGGTCCAACAAAACCATAAAATAAGTGATAGATGACATCACAAGAATGGGAATCTGCTATGATTGCCTCGTATGTTCTTTAAACAGCTAAAATACTCTAACGAAATTTATTAGCATTTATTATTGCGTTTTGTTCTATTACATCAAGCAGTTTTTGATGAATGCTACTGAAAATGATAAAAGCATAATAAGACTTGGAATGTAACCGATTCCACCTTGAATGCATCGCTCATTGCAGATGAACAACTCTGCTATCTGAAATAGTGTGGTATGACTGATAGTGTACAAAGCTAAGCTGAAAGAAATTTGCTTCTACTGTGGATTTGCTGTCTTTACCTCTCAGAAAGAGGGATAGAGGAATCACATGATAACTTGCGATTTCTCAATTGATGGTAAGGAATTTGAGAAGCCTACAAGTTCGGAGCGTTAGTGCACTACAGAAGAGGCGGATCGTTTGTGTAGGACACGCCAGGTAGCGGAAGAGAGACGGGAGATTTATAAAAGTGAGTAGTCAGGTGAAAGAAAGAATGGGAATCCTGTGTTAAAGGAGCCAGGAAGTCAAACAGGAAGAACGATGCCTCTTCAGAATAAACTGCGAGGAAAACAGGCACCAGAAACAGTCTGCAAAAATTGGGTGTTATGTTTCAGTGGAAGATGGAGAGACAAGTGGATACTCCTAAGGGTGCGAACCGACACACCATTTGCATCGAAGGACATGGCCCCGACGATCTAGCATGGCTTTTTTCGAGGCCCAGTTGGTATGCTATTGGCGCAGCACGCCCCCTCTCGCATTGTCTGAGTCTCTAGCCGAGAAGGCGTTAGCGTTGAAGAGGGGGCACCGATGAGAGTCGCATCAATGCGCAAATCAGCGGGCAGTGAAGGGGTCCCATTTCTCGGCTCTAGGCCATTTTCTCGTTTTTTTTCTTTTTCGTGCATGACTGACCATCTCTAACTTAATTTCCGATGACCTGCCTTTTCAACGTAATCCTCTTCTCCGCCCTTTCGGGTGTGACCAAGACAATTTGGAACCCTTTCAGTATTAAACTCTCTCGAAAATGGCCTGGGGCCGTATGCTGAATGTTGGGTAGGGGCTGGGGCCCCCGACCCGCGATGCAGAATGCTGGGAAATCGTTGGGGCCCCCATCATGGTTTCGTCGCGGGACCAACCAGCCAACAGCCGCCGCCTTTGACTTTTCTGTTTTATTTCCACTTGTTTAGTGTTTATGCGTATTACATTCGTGCATTTGTTCAAGTATCATTTCTACATATACATATATGTAACGTTTAGGTTGTGCACGCGCTCCTGAATCTTCTTCCGTGCAATTTTATTCGTTCAGGTACTTTTCTTTTTGATAATCTATAATCGTTACATATATGTATATGTAGAAATGATACTTGAACAAATGCACGAATGTAATACGCATAAACACTAAACAAATGGAAATAAAACAGAAAAGTCAAAGGCGGCGGCTGTTGGCTGGTTGGTCCCGCGACGAAACCATGATGGGGGCCCCAACGATTTCCCAGCATTCTGCATCGCGGGTCGGGGGCCCCAGCCCCTACCCAACATTCAGCATACGGCCCCTGGTTTTATTCGGGAAAATGAAGGAAGGAACCCGTTCTGTTTCAGTTTTCTATTCCTACAGTAAAATGGATCCCATGCTCTGTAGAGCACTAAAGGAAACAGATGTTATCGGCTTCAAGTTGCGCATTCAGTTATAAAATTTAGGATTAGACAAAGATGAGATGGGGAGACAGATATATAGAGAAGTCTGAAACACATTGCGAGCCAACTTGCTAAGTATGCGACAGAAGAGCTAGAGCGCTCAAAAGAGCAAGAAACAGATTTCTTTTTCCTGCGTACGGTGATTTTTTTTTGGTTTTCAAGAAAGATGGTTGATGTGATCATTCCACGTACCTCCGAAGTTTGATTTATTTTCTCTGAGGAACATCCTATTTTACTTCGAAAATCCTATAAAAGTTCAAGAATTTGGTCACATCTCTGCATAGCTTCCATGAGGCTTTCTCATGTCTTACTTTCACTTTTTGCTGCCATTCGTTCGGTGGAATGAATGCGAATGGCATATTGCTGTATCTTGGAGGTACAGGCGCGCATGTAACTCCCAGGCTTGTGCCTGTAATACACATTATTTTCGACCTAAAACTGTATCGTTCGGGCTCGCCACCCAACGCACGAATTTTCTGCCTTCTAATTCTGTGGATTTTCTTATTTGCTCAAGTCCTGCTCCCACCACCCGCGCTTCATAAGTGGAAAACTGCTATTTTGGAAGGGTAGTTCAACACCAGCAACACCGGTGTATTGGCACGGGCTACGAAACTTTTGAGAGTCGAGATACTTCTCCAACCTTTCATACTCTTTTGCGATGGATTGGGCTGAAACCTATGTTACTTGACGATCAGTGCCCATTTTTGTGGTAGCTCAGTGAATTAGGAAGTATATGTCAGGGCATCCTAGAATGAATGCTACTCTATAAATGTCATCTCAGTAATGCTGTCGAAACGTTCATAACGGAGGTAGAGCTTGCATATAAAAATAGGGAGGCGGCATTTCCGATGTTTCTAGATTTATTTATTTTTGGGTGTCTTTGAAAGGCATAATTACGTGACGTCAATTCAGTGAGCCTATATTAAAGAGCGAAGTTCTAGCGTTCAAAGATGAAAGGAACACTTTCATTCCTTTTTTGGATCAAATCGTCCAAAATTTTGGTATGTTTGTCAGTCACATTTTCTAAGCCATCCATAATCGGGGAAAGAGCAGAACTACGTAATGACTTCAAGGTTTTCTGTGAAGACTTGTTTGGCGTGATTACAGGGCCATGATTATCTGTACTTCTCAAAGTGTTTTTGGCTTTCTGCTTTCATTTTGGTGTGTTATTACTTCCTGTAACTGAAAACACTGCTGGAAGGGCGGAACTGCACTGGGATGTTCTTGTAGGAACCATGAACATGGAGGCAGCTGGCACGCAATTCCATGCCACTCTAAGAAAGTTTAAAGTCTCACACGAAACGCTTCCTAAACTCTCTAACGATTTTGGGCCAAAAATACTGCATGCGATGCACGGTGGGAAGATCGCAGTCAACCACCCACTTAGCTATTTGACCTCTGAAGACTCATCAAGTGTTGTTCGAGAGTCGGCACTCTTCTTACTGCAGTCGATGTTGCTCTCGAGTTAAATATAAAGGAAGGGATGAACCCTACTCTGCGGACCATGAAGTGACGCTAGAAGGTCTGGTGGGTCCAGAAAAAGATTTGTTCAACGAGTCGAATGTTCAACGTCAACGAATCTTGATCTTGGGACGCTACACCGCAGCATCACACAAATTTTCACTATTCGAACAATGTTCGTTCAGATGTGGAAATATGTCCTCATTGTTGTGAAATAATGATAGATAAATGCGATGATCTTCCAGCGGAAGGTGCAAATTAAAATGCATGAAATACGCAACCAAGCATGGTTTGGGACTTATGATGGCCAGCAAGGCCTTCTTGCTGCAAGAAACTTATCACTTGAAGTTGACGGCAACATGACAGGCAGCATTACCAAGACATGTTGGCCAATGTAGTCGTATAATGGGCAGAACATAACATGACAGGAAGATGGATAAAACGACAGGATAACTAGCCAAATCACACTTTAAGGGTCACGAAATAGCAGCTTATCACACTTCTAATGGTAGTCATAAGGAAGCATTATCCCAAACCAAAGCGGACCCCGCCACAGAGTGGGACAAACGCTGAAGAATAAGAATAAGAAGATTATCCCAAACCAAGTTTAATAGACTCATGTGACGAGCTTCGGAAGTTTGGATGGGGAAATTAGGGCAAAATAGCAATGACTAGTTGTCTCAGTTCACATGCCTAGTTGAAATGTTATGGCTACACCTGATTGACTCTATCCATCCTGCGCTTTGATCAAGACTGGAGGTTTTTCTACCAAATGTGTTATCTTGCGATTTTAAAATGCTGTGTTTTTTTTTGGGAAGGACATTTTCCGCGAACGCATGGTGTTCGCGATTGACAGTGATTTTGAGTTTAGCTTCCATTAAAGTCCGTGAATCAAACCACCCGAGAGGTGAGCAGTGAGATAGGTTTACCAAAAATTTCGGAAAGAACTCCCCCGAAAATTGGGAATAATTTGTCTAGTCTTTAGAACAGTTTGTAAAAAGGTGGAACATGCCTGTCCATAAGCAACTGACGTTCCACCGCAGGGCGTCTTTATCGAGCAGAAACCCCGTATACATTTCATCGTTACAGAGGCTGTCCTTCTGTTCATACGTTGTGAAAAACGTGGAGTTCCTTAATCGCGTAGTTCCACTTGATGGAATCATTGTAAAGTGGTTCACCTCACATTGATATGAATCCTTCCCCTCCCGTAAGTTTGTGAAAATCCACTAATTGCAAAGCCGCTCGACGTCTGGCAATCCAAGCGCGGCTGAAACAGGCTACTTGTGAACATATCAATTCTACTCTGTTCATTCTTCCTATTCTTTTTACTGGGAACCTGTGGAATATCAGGTGGTATGGCTAACGTACCAAATGGCAGGGTGTCATCGTGAATTGCTTCAGCTAAAATTTCGCGAGTTTTTCGTCTTCACCATGGCCTACCGTGTGATGCACGCGATAGCGTGCAGAGATAAACTGATTGATATCATAGGAATTGTTGATCAACAACATTGGTCAGTACCACTCCAGGTACTATTTGATGCAGGGTCATAAGAAGCTCCTGTTTGTGCCCTAGCCAAGCTGGTGAATAATACCTTACCCAGATTTCCATGAGAAGCGATCCGTGATGCATCGCCAAACAATGCTCCAACTTGATGAAGGGTGGTGCTAATGCGGTTTTCCCGTTACACTACAACTGCAGAATGGTTGTCCTTTTCTCCGAGCATTGGTTCACTTGACATAATGTTGGGATCCGTAATTGTAAGAAAGGCCTGTTCAGTTGGTCACCATTTTCCCCTGCGAAATAGTCATGACTTGAAGTTGGAAGCCATTTTCATTTCCGTGGAGTTCTTGCCCCTTCTAGGCTTCGTTCTGAAGGTTGCCCCGTATGTTGCGATAGCGCCGAAAATTGCTTACACAACCCCTTTCCTAGACGGGCAGCTATTGCGTGACCTTAATGATCGAATAGCTTTTAAAGGTTTTTCCAAGTTCTGAATGTTCTTAACTTTGCATCTGAACTATTTGACTTACTGAGGAACCCTACTACAGAAAAGATTGTTGTCACAGTGTAGATTTGCCGAGGTTGCGAGTGTGCATATTGAGAATGAAACAAGTAGGCGGCCAACTATCACGGTCATTGAGTAAAAATGAGTGCAACCACCGATGCACTCAAATGATAGCGGAAGTTCCCTGTAAACACGTGAATAAGTGGGTAATCCTCGTCGCATCGCTATTATTGGGCGATAGTCTTGACGTAGAACTTGTTCTATTTTTTCAGTTCTACCGATTGCTGGTCGAGAAAGTCTTGCCGTTACCAGTGCTAGAGATTTGCACTCTTACCTTTAGTCAGATAGCTTGAGGCTTGAAAGCAATGATCATTTCATTGCCATGAATTCAAATGAAAGTCCTCAGACAGCTTTACGTTAATTAGCATGCTTGTATTTGTAGACCTGAGGAAGGGCTTGAGGCCCGAACGTCCCATAAAGCTGTCTGAAGAGTTTCATTTGAATTCATGACAATCATAAAGCCTAATAAAGCTCAGGAACCCTTTGACTTGAATGACAATGATCATTATCAAATTAACTGACGCCCTTGCTCGAAATTTTCAGCATTTTGTTTAATAGGAATACTGTTTTCACCGGAATTTTGCAACAGCAGGATTGTTTGATGAAACAACGGTCAAGCAGTCTCTCCGGTCAATCGGTTGAGCATTTTTTTAGTTTTGAAGAAAATACTGCGTTGATGAATAATCGTGGCTTTTTTTGCGCTTCCTTTTTCCGAAAAGGATGGCGCCTTGTTTACTATTCCTTCCTGAACATATTCTTCTCTCTTTCATTAGCAGAAATGCTTATCAAAAATCGTCTACATATTCGCCCATATGCTCTACCACTTCGAGAAATGGTTGGAAGGCGACAGATTCATTTCACGGTCTCAACCAACTTTTCTGCGAAGGAGCAGTCAGCAGAAATTAAGACAATGATGGTATAAGAGTTCCAAAAGCCATATTCACCGACCGAAGCTCCTACAGACTACCACTTCAACCAGTCTCTGAAAACCTGGCAAGCGAATAAAATCACGACGAGCTGGTTGACTTGGTGTCCGTTAGAGCGCGGGTCGTATTCAAGAATCCTTACTTCTTCTCCCGTGGAATCGGTTGGCTGCCAAAAAACTGGGAGCTATTCTTGAAGGATGGCGCTCCGGAATAACACTTAAACATGTTTTTGTTAAATGTTAAATATTTTTATCGTTGCTGAATGAAATTTGTTGAAAAAGGCCGCAATAATTATACATCAACCCAATATAATTTCTGCTTACCATTAGCGTGAAGCTCGATATTCACTGCCTTGCAAAAAAAAAACGTCGAACGTCGTCACAACGTAAAGGAAATCAGTGGGAGCCGTAGATAAGCAGTAAGCGAAAATGGGACACTGTTGGCAGTAAAGAAGGGAACAAAAAGCTAGGATGGGTAGAAAGGCTGGAGCCTAGTGAGGTACAACAAGAGTGGATATTAATGGCAAGCGAGCAGAATACATATATGCATGACAAACATTACAAGAAAGTATTTATTAAAGCGCAATTGAGAAAAAATTGTTGAAAACGATTTTACAGGATGTGTTTGGATTTGCTACAGTACTGCACTGTAGTCCTACATATTTACTGCACTTATCCTTACCGGCAGACATTGCCATCGCGCTGCATTTACCCTGTATCATGGTCTTACAGCTTGTCCCCCTTCGCAATGACGGGCCTATATACTGCCAACAGGTGCTTGTGCAAACGAAGGCCGAAGCAGACATGCGTCGCGAAATTCGTAAGGAGCAGAAAAGAGCCAAAAAGGAGTTGAATCGGTTAGTATTTTTCACCAGCTTACCTCGATCTGGGATGACTACATCTCGTTCTTCACATCCGAAAATGCACATACAAAAAGGCGATTTCAGTATTCATCATGCGTTTGGAGACGATGAGAAGTTGGAGCTCGAACTTGCACAGCGAGAGATCTTGCGAATGCGGTAGTTGTTTCCTTTTTCACTATAACCAGTTCACTCTGTTGATAAGTGTAATGTGTCCTTCGTACCCTCAATATCGACACTAGGTTTCTTAAAGCACCCTCCAATGTAGAACCCTTGGCTAGTGGCGTTCAAATACAGAAATGTACTTGCCCATCAGGGAATTAACCTTTCCACTCGTTGCCATCGACTATGGAACGCTTTTGAAGGGAGATGGGCGTCATCACGAATGTTCTGGAATCTTGATTAGAAGTGTCTTAGATTGAGGTCAATATTTGCAAAAGTTAACTTCCAGACAAGAGAAAATTCCCATTTTGCACACCATACCTTTTTGAAGTAATTAATTGTTTCATTTTTATGTAGACTGATGTAGTGATAATTTTTTGTCGGTAACGATGACTCTTAGCGTTCTCCGAAAAAAGTGAGATTTCGTTCCCTCAAGCTCATCGGCTGCGTTTTCTAAAGCAATGGTTATTTGATTGTGTGTTCCACAATCGTAACCCATCTAGCAATAGACACTTCCCGCGATAACAGCAACAGAGTAAGCATGGGTTGTAAGTATTGAACAGTGCGTGCTTGGTAGTGAAAAAAAGAAAGAAGTCGAGAAGTCTCATGCAAGGCATTTCTTTTATGGACGGTACCAGGCGGATCCCGAGGAGCGAGGGAATTTTGTGACAGACGTACAGACGACAGACAGACGACAGACGAAGCGCTTTATTATACTAACGGGGAATGCTTAATTGGTCAGTCCGGCCATTTGTAATGAGGTGTAGTCCGCTGTACTCATCTTGCGACGCTGAGCTCAAATCCGTTCTCGCTATCTGCGGAACGATTCTCTGATAGAAGTTACGAGGGATTCTTTTCACTGTGGCTTTCTCACTATGGCGCCCTCTACATCCTCGCATCCCGCTTGCCTCGCTCACGTTGAGCTGGTAAGGAATCCCGGATGTGGGAATGATGGTGCAGTGGATAGCACGTATGTTTCTTATTGGTGAGGTCAGATGTTCAAATCCTTCCGCATGGCAAACTTGTAAAAGGGAGTAGCAAATCAACAAAATAATCAAATATAAACACATTTTGGGTCCGTATGAGGAGCTCTGAAAAAATGCAAAAATCCACAGTGCCCAAGGATTTGAAATGATGACCTCACCAATATGAAGCAAACGCACTATCCACTACACCACTAGGCCAACGAACACAGCTCCTCACCGGCTCAACTTGACCGCAAGCGGGATACGAGGATGTAGAGGGCGCCACAGTGAGAAAACCACAGTGAGAAGAATCCCTCGTAACTTCTTTCGGAGAATCGTTCCGCAGATAACGAGAACGGGTTTGAGCTCAGCGTCGCAAGGCGAGTATAGTGGACTACACCTCATTACAAATGGCCGGACTGACCAATTGAGCATTTCTCGTAAGTAGGATAGTAGAGCCGGGTTGATTAAAGCCACGAGTCAGGATTGGGCAACCAGAAGAAGTTCTCCCTAGGGTGCGATAGTGAGCTTCCTAAGCACTGAGGGCGCGACACTATCGCGACCCAAAAGTGCGCGGCAATCGGGCTTGGGCCTTGCCCGTCGCGCTGCCCGCGCTGCCAGCGTAATCCACCGCGGCATATGTGGTCTCTCCGTCCTCTCGCGTACGACGTACTATCTCGCGTTCTCCCTCTCCTCGCAGCGCTGTGTCTCTCCGTCGAACTACGGCCGGCCTTTCAGGGAAGTTTAGTGTTTTCTATGGCGCTTTTTGCTTTTTTCCTCACTAATGTTCCTCATTGCACCCTTGCCTAATATTTGAATAAAATAGCGCAATCCCGACTCGTGCCTTTAAATAGTAGAAGACCGTGGATGCCGAGATGAGAGAACGTGTTTTTCCATGTACTTTTGTACATGCAAAATAAATAAATAAAATAAATAAACGGCTACAAGGGAGTAAAGCGGGGGCGGGGGAAAGCGGGGGGGGAGAGAAATACAGTAGTGATCAAAAACTACTGCCGAAACAGTTTTTCGCGTACTTGTAGAATTTGCTTCAGATATTGATATCTCATATGTATGTTTTAATGATTTCGAGCCTTTTACGTTCTCTCCTTGACGCTCGAAGATATTCAGTGGGAAATCTCTAACTGATCTTCGGGATATTAATGCACAAAAGCCAAGAGATTCGTTGCCCTATCTTTTATTTTAACGCATCTACCACAATTCCCGCTTTAATAACATCGAACCTACTTATTCTACCCGAGGTCGAGCATGTTTCGGATTCCGTAACAAGGGGATCATTTCGTTTCTGTGCACCTAAGCGAAATGGCAACGTCTTCTATCATGCTACCATTAGAAATAAACACTTTTCGACTATTATGCGTAATCCTACGTTAGAGTGATTACTTAAAAGCCTCAGCAAAATATGTATAGGAACAGTGAAATATAAATGGATATGTACGTTTTCAGCTAAGTGCGATTTGCCCAATGTTTCGAGCGCTTTATGTTAGCCTCCTTTTTATTTTCATTACCTGACCTTTCTCATTTAGCCAAATCGAAATGGACCAGTTGAAATGGGCACCAACCATCAAAAGTGCAAATCGACCCCGGGAAATTTATCCATACGTTTTTGACGCTTGCATTGACAGTGGTTCGGCAATGATAACTATTAATGGGATGAAGGTGGTTTCTTATTTGCTGTTTGTCAAGACGAGCTTTTAATGCCATGCTGTTCATGAATTACAGTATGCTTTACCGGAAGGCTCTACCAGAGGAAGCTTTCGCACACATGAAGAAGTTGAAGTTCCGCCAATGAATAAGAGTTCCATAGGAGATATCCACAATGTTTTCGTCAAGGATATGGATGATGTCGGTTTTGTTTTTCATTACTGTTCATTACTGAAATTTCACAGTGAACGTTAAATTTGGTTTTATTTCAGTTAGGTCGGCTGGGATTTCAAGGCTTTGAAAAGCTCAATGTAATTCAGTCTGTTGTGTTCGAACAGGCTTATAAAACTAGAGAAAACCTCCTGATTTGTGCGCCAACTGGAGCAGGTGCGTGGTTGTTAATGCTATTGTTTTCTCCCACACGTAGGTGACTAGTAGCAATAAATGAATAAATTTTTACAAAAAAAAATCAAAAAGAACGTAAAAAAAACGAGTGCAAACTCATATTTTAGTTCTAGAACATCGTAGATTCATGTGTCTCGTGCTTTGTGACACTATGGTGAGAAGTTTTTGCTAGTAAGAGATCTGCAGAATAAAAGTTGGTAAAATGCGCACGATTCTGTGCCATTTCAAAGCGAGTGTTCGAACTTTTGCCGTAAGTTTTGATAGTGGACGAATTCAGAAATTAATAAATTCTGGCTAAATTTGTGTGAAATACCTACTACTGCCGTCCATAAGAATGCTCACTAAGATCTCGTGTGTATTCACAGGGGGGGGGGGCTTTATTATCCTGCTTCTATACATACACTGGTGTGCAAAACTTAGGAACGAACGTAGCTTTTCCAACGACGTGTCACTGACGCGTAACATAACTCTATGGAACCTAACCACACATACAAAGAGCTGCTATAGGGCACAAAACAAAGCAGTTAACAGGAACCGTTAAGCGGTCCACAAAGCTAAGAAAAGGTTATGGTACTTCGTCTGTCTCGTCCTTAAGTTTTGCACACCAGTGTATTTAGCGCACTGCGTACCGCGTGGTGCACATAGTGCAGCATCGTCTTTTCGAGGATGTATTTGGCATTTGCTCATGCTTTGATCCTATACGAATCCAGATGGTGTAAAGGGAGCAACAAAAACTCGTCATGTGAAGGTTCTGAATTCTTGGTTCTTGTTGTGGGAAAATTCAGTCACAGTCTTCATTTTTCTTTTCCAAATTATGGTAAAAATGAACCACCGTCTGCACGATGACTTCAGACACTTGGAGCAATAGACATGCTTCATTTAAGCCTTTTTCTTTCTTTTTTTTCTCGCTTATACTCTTCAATATCCACTTTCAATCCCTGCAGCACTTTGAATTAGCTTACCTCTGTGCCACTTGATAATAATGTTTATCTGTCAAGTACTTGCACGAAATTTTGTGGATATATTAGATGTCCGTGCAGTGCTTTTACATACAAATGACATAAATGGAATAGTTATATTCAGCGCGCACGCCGCGGCGGCCTTGAAAGCAAGTGCCAGCCACCGAAAAGCGTCGCGGTACGTAGTGGGCAGAGTCAACCCTGCGTTGCGCCAGTTCGCAACGGCACGTCGACAAGATCCTCCCGCACGCTGTATGGGTGGAGACGCAGACGGCTCGAGCATGCGAGTGTGAATGTTCGCGCGAGAGAACGTGTATAATCGGGCGAAACTGCGCAACGTGGCCGTTGAAAACTGCGCAACGCAGGGTTGACTCTGGTAGTGGGTAAAATGAGAAGGATTTACGGTGGCTCCAATGGTAGAGAACCCAGAATGTGTACTAGAAATATTTCATTGCATGTGTAGAGTGGTGGAAATTGCTTCGAAAAGTGTTTTATCAGTACAACCATTTACTGATGAAACCTTTGCAAAGCAGTTTGCATCACTATACAAGCATGTACCACTAGTACAAGTTATATGAACCGTACATTGTTTCATAATAGATAATGTGTATACTAGTATAAAAGGAAATGTTCTCACCAGTTTATGAAAAAAAACATAGAAAAAAAAACTGAAGTAGAGTTTACTAAAGGTGCTCTCATGCTGGTCTTTATGTGCTGAGAGTGTACACATGTGCTGCGAATGGGATCGAAATAATAGCGTACACCTTACATTACACCTTTTTTAGGTAAAACAAACATCGCTATGTTATGCGTTTTGAATACTATTCACGAACATCGAATGCTAAATGGTGATATTGCGAAGGACGACTTCAAGGTTTTTCATATTTCTTTCAGTCATTAAAAACCAACAGGTATTCCCTAAAGCTCGAATCATGATTGTGGGCTGCAAACATGGCCTCATCTTGCTCGAGTTCACTTCTCGACCAGTTTTTTGTTTATAGCAATTTTCGCATCTTGCAAGCCTAAGTAGCGAATGTAGACGCTGCTGGGCTTTTTTTTCCGTGCGGCTGTTGATCGCCATTTTGATAATTTGCCAAGTCTGCACGCATTATCAACTGTCAGAAATCTTACAGTTGCTCATGTAGTAGTGATATCTATGGACCCATTCATACGTTTCAGATCATCTACATTGCTCCCATGAAGGCCTTAGCCACGGAGATGACATCAAGCTTTGGCAAAAGACTGGCTCCTTTGGGTTTACAAGTGCGAGAGTTGACTGGAGATACGACGCTATCTAAAAAGGAGATATCCGAGACACAGGTAAACTAAACCAGCGTATGAACGTAAAATCAATGCCTTTGACCCTTTGACCACATAACTCTACATCTCACTCTGAGGCGATAAATTACAGTAACATTGGTTTGGATCGTAGTGGAAGTACAGGATGGATGCTGAGTCATGCCCCTGTGGCAGAAAAGCAAAGAAATCCATCAAGGAAGACCCCTTTGTTTGAGCGCTGACCTCCGATAATGGACGATCCAACAACCACTAAGAAGTCCTTCACCCGTGATAAACTGATAGCCACCATTATGCTAGCGAAGACCATGCTTTGATTTACTACGCATTTCTTGAGAGAGTCACAAGACACGCGTTGCGATTGAAGTGGAATACCTTCGCAATATGATAATCTAACGATATCGCTGCTGGGGGCGGAGTACAGGCGAGGGCTGGCTTAGAGAAGATTGGCAAACCCAATTTGCTATAACTTACGCACCTCGCGTCCAGAAAGGCTACATCTCGTTCCCTGGCTACTGCTTCCAGTGATGCATGTGCTTTCTGCGGCAAACACTATCGTAATCCCTCGCTTCAACTCAATAAACACATTGCAGACCACGCACATTTGGGCTTGGTAGCTGTGTAGAACTTCAGTGCAGATTTTAGAAAGTCTGTCGAGCTGATTGGGAAGAAAAACATTATTGAATGCTCCAGAAGGATATTTATTTTACAAAGCGTTTCAAAAGTATAAAGTCAGTCTTAAAAACTGTTTTCCCGGATAAAGATGAAGGATCCATGGCTCGTTCTCCACATTATTGCATTAGCGTTGAATATAGCCCGCTCCGTTTCAGAAAGCAATATCAGCTAAAAGCGTTCTCATATGAAAATTCAAAGATGCTCCTATTCTCAAAAGTATGAAGGCACCCTGAGCAAGAGAGCTTTGACAGGGGCAGTTTTCCTACCTCTAAACTTTTAACATGGTTAATAAAAGCACTCTACCCTTTCCTTGTGGAACTTGCTAGTACTTCGTTGTTGCACGTGGCATGGTCGTTTTTGGACAGGGTTTGAAATGGTCTTTTTTGGACAAGGCCTACATCGCAGTAGTGTACACCCTGTTCTATGATTCTTGTAGGTTGAAATAGTGTCTGGACGAGTAGTTCCTAAGTGAATTTCGTTTTTTTTCCAGGCCCCGAGGAAGGTGAAAGCACCGAAACGTGGGCCTAATAAAAGTTACTGTTAATCTTGATTGGATGCTTAGCAACTACGCTCTATTTCTGAAGACAAGGCGAAGGCCTTGTCTTGTGAAATTTATTCTCACTCGCATTGAAACCTCGTTTAGATGCTCGTGCTGACACCCGAAAAATGGGATGTTGTTACAAGAAAAGGAGCAAGCGACAACTCTTTAACGTCACTTGTTAGGCTGCTAATCATCGATGAGGTTTGCAATTCTATTGAGACGTCTCCAATATTGACAGTCATCACTACCACTAGTTTGACTAAATCAAACAATTGTAGGTTCATTTGTTACACGACGATCGGGGGCCGGTCATTGAAACTATTGTTGCCAGGACGCTCAGACAGGTTCTTTTCGAGTTTCTTTATTTTGTACTACTACAGTGCGTTTCAAAAGTATAAAGCCACCCTTGAATGAAGCTATTCCAAGTTAGAATGAAGGTTCCGTGATTTGATGAATAGTTTATCGAATTCAGCACGTTCTGAAACTATAGTAAACTTTGTTGTACAAACCACTATAAGCTAGAAACGGTTCCATAAGAAAATTTGAAAAACTCCCCTGTTTCAAAAGTATAAAGCCACCCCGGGCGAGTAGGCAACAGCGGTAAAAATTTTTGTCCCTGTTAACTCGTTTGGAGTTCTTCGGCCATAATTAGCACAAACACATTACGTCTTCAATATATCTCGTGGATCTACGTTTTCTTTGGGCAAGTTCGTGCGAGTACGTTACATCGAGCTGCCCATTCAAATCGCTCCATTGTTGCTCAACTTAGACGTTCTCAAAGCTGCTATCGACATTTCTTCTGAGGGAATCCAGCTTATTATGAAAGGAAGATCCCTNAAAGGTCACGTGTTCTGCTTGAGTATTATATCCGCCATATTAAACGATCCCTTTCCAATTCTTCTGCGACCATCAGTCAGATCCGATACGAGCTCNCCCCTTTTAGCTTCGAAAAGATCATCTGGAGGGTCGCTAACTCTGCTCCAAATATCGTGCGACAATCCATGATGAAGACTCCACGTCCGGAACAGCATCACAAAGCACGAACTCGCCCGGAGGAACATGCGAACGAGTTGGGGTTCGGTAGGTGATTCTACCGGGGGTAGGGAGCCACCCTCAACATGACGTTTAGTTAATGGCTTGTAAACTTCAACTTAGACGGGCCGGATGGTCATCACAGATTCTGGAGAGATTTTAGCAAAGATCCGCTGGTATTTAGCAGGAGAAACTTCGGTGGTGACGCATAGATGGCCTGAGCTGCATTCTACAACGATGCTGTGCTCCCTCTGTCTTTCGTCTCGTGTCAAATGGACCCCAGTGAGAATCAGGATGTTTTTCTTAATGATCTTCTCTCGTTTCTGTGTGGAAGCGTCGGCAAAACTCCATCTTTATGCACGATCACGCCACCATCCATCGCAGCCGGTCCACTCAACACCGGGTTTACGTTAACAAAATCAGTGTACTGGAATGGCCTGCTAGAAGCCTAGATCCAAATCCAATAAAAAACACCTGGGGTATCATTGTCCGACAGATATACGCGTATGGAAAGCAGTACAGTAACGTGGGAGACCTCAGACAGCCATCGAGACGTTTTCCTACCGCCTGAATCCCGCTATACTTCTGAAGCTCACGGATAGTATGCCAAATGGTCAATTAAATCTCACTCCTAAAAAAGGAAGTCACGCTAGTTACTAATATTTACGATGTTCACTTTTTCTCTGGAAAAATAGAGTTATGTTGCAAGTGGCTTTATACTTTTGAAACAGGGGATATTTGAAAATCTTCTTATAAAAATGTATGTGAATCATTTTGCTTCCTGAAATAAAGAGAACAATGGTTTCCAAACACGCTGAATTCAATAAAGTTTATGGCAGGCCATGAAATACTCACCTTAACTCGGAAGGTTAGTTTTCATGGGTGGCTTTATACTTTTGAAACGCACTGTATGGGTGTCTTTTTAAACTCTTCGACCAAAAATGCTTAAGTTTTCCAGGTGGAAATGTCTCAAACGGGAATCCGTATCGTGGGCTTGTCAGCAACATTGCCAAACTACGTTGATGTAGCCCGATTTCTACGAGTCAATCCCTACAAAGGTCTCTTCTACTTTGACGGACGGTTCCGGCCTGTTCCTCTCACGCAGAAGTACGGTTGTTTTTCACATGTTTTATGTGTAAATAAAAAATAAATTAAAATGCCCCTTTTTCAAATGTATTCGGCTTCACTTACCAACTCGTCCGCTACGTAGAACTCCGGCGACGAGAAGAGGAAATAGAGTTTTAATATTAAGTCCATCAATCTCGCGCATATTTGGCTCACCACAGGTCTGGTCTAGGCTCATCTGGAACCTGGCACTGAACCTTTTTTTCGTGTGCAACAACTTTACCACTGATGTCGAATCAAGCTCAAGATTGTGAAGAAAAACAGTCTCTCTATCTGAATCGTAAGGCAGATATCGGACTACTCGTAAGAACGCCGAACACTGTTGCATAGTTGAAAGGACTCACGGCTAACTCTGTAGCCTGCCGTGATAGCTAATAGCTAGTAACAACAACTATTCGAGGCTGTGTATAGGAAGCATTCTCGCATTTATATGGTTTTTAAAAGGCTTTGGCTGCTGCTGTTCTGTAGGGGGGGGGGGTGGTGTTGTTGGGATCGGAAAATTTCCTTGTTCCGTAATGAAATGCACCATAGTGTTTGGAATGCAGTTTACTGATGATTACTTTACCAGGTTTATCGGGATTAAGAAGGTTGGAGGGGTACGAGAAGTCCAGGAAACTATGAATGAGGTTTGCTACGATGAGGTTCTCAGCTACGTCAAGAAAGGGCATCAAGTTCTGGTGAGTGCTAAGCCTTCCCAGTGGTTCCTTATGAACTGGTTTGTAACTAATTGCATACATTGATGGATTTCAGGTGTTCGTTCATGCACGTAATGCTACAGCATCTTTAGCGCAAGCTTTTCGAGAAAGAGCGGCTCAGTTGGTTGGTTTCTCAACATTATTTCATTTTGTAAAAAGCGGGAAAAGTACTCAAGGCAAAATCATTGCTTGGTGTGATGGGCAAGCATATATTGCGCCCATTTCTCTATTGAATGTGTATCTTTATTTTGATCAGCTAGGCTTCCTGTATTAGACTGCTCTCATTACCACGCTAGTGGCAGTGCGACGCGTTTGCGCGTCACTTTTACACGGCAGAAAAGTGTCCCTTTCACATTTACGACGGAATAATTACACATTTGCGGAATTCAAACGAATGTTCTCCACTGAAAATTGAAGCTCGCGCCAATCTGTCACTCAAGCACACCCTTCTATCCAAACGACAACAGAAGATCCTTCCACTGGTACATGGCGTACGGTTCGAGCTCGAGGAGGTTCTTGACGAATCGTAGGCCATTACGATCCTATTGGAAACGCTAGTCGAAAAAGGTGCAAATATCAGAGTAACAACTTCGGGAAGCTATCTAGCCGTTAACCGCTTGAAGAAGTTATATGGCAGCTACGCGCTGAAGCGATTACGGTAGTCCTCCTTGAGTTCGACGGTTATGACAGATAAAATTATATTCTGAAGAGTGAGGGTAAAGGAGTACCTGTTTTTGCTTATGAGGTATATCTGGTGAATTCTTTGCCATAGAACTTCCATCAACAGGGGCACTCTTTGTGACGAAGAGTTTGATGATGTGCGTCGTGGGTTAACTTTTTTGCCCTATCCATATATCCTGCAGAAGTATTGGTGAAGTTCTGATTTTAGGGACACCTAGATCTGTTTCTTCCACAATCAGCAGGCACAAAAAGTTATGTCACCTCGGAAAAAGCGGTGGGTTCATACTATTCGTTGTAATGTCGCTCTTGGTCACAATCATATTTTCTAGGTTCAAGCATCGCGGAATCATAAGCTCTTTGAGTTTTTCCGTTTTGGCTTTGGTGTTCATCATGCTGGTCTTGTGCGACATGATCGACTCTTGATGGAGAAAGTGTTTTATCAGGGGCACATAATGGTATGTGTCTGACTGTCACATTTTTTGTGTGGTTGTGTAATTCTGTAATCTTATTCTTTTTCAAGGTACTTTTCTGTACTGCAACTCTCGCTTGGGGAGTAAATTTGCCCGCACATGCTGTTGTTATTCGTGTAAGGCTTTGTTGGTTCTGTGAATTTTCAGTTTTTTGAGACTTCAGCTTTCTAGGGTACGGAGGTTTTCGATGCAGAGAAAGGACAGTTTGGTGATCTGGGAGTGCTAGACGTCCAACAAATTTTCGGACGTGCCGGTCGTCCACAGTTCGAAAACGAAGGGCATGGTGAACATTAATTATTCCAGTATTTTATTCTTAAAACCACCTAATTATTCCAGTATTTTATTCTTAAAACCACCGAAACCTCATTATAATCTCTTGGGCTAAAAGACACTGTGGCTTTGACAGTTTATCGCAAAGTAAGGCGAAGATATCTCAGGAATGTCCTAAAAAGATTTTGTTTTACTCGCGGCCATAATTTGGTGCATTGCACTGATAGTTAGCACCCGTGGTCTGGAATGTTTTGAGATAAATCAGTTGGTGTTTGTGAAAATAGTTAAGTTTCTATGCTTCGCTTCATGCGATATAAACACTTCCAAGGTCGGTGTGAAGCAGGTCTACCGCAAGATAATCTTGGCTGTCATATCACCTGTTACCCTCATCCCTCTACAGAAGCCCATCGGTTCGCTTCAAAGAACCCAGAATGACACGTAGCTTTACCTCTCCGATGATTTCCGCAGTAGTCCTTATATTTGAAGAGCCTAAATCTTCTATTATATAAAATTTTCCTTCTAGCGGACTTCTCATTGAGTGTTATAGTATTTTAATGATTAAAGGCACGAGTCGGGATAGAGTTGGGGTATTTTTGCGTTTGAAAGCAAGTGCAGAGATGCGAAGGAGACGTAAGTGAAGGAAGAAGGCTCCGAAAGGCCAGAACTGAACTCTAACGCACAGCAGCGGAGAAGGCTGGGCAGGGCAAAAGGCGCGTCTACACGAGTACTCGTACCTGCCAGCCATTGCTTTCGTGCCAGCTCTCGATCAATCTAGCTCATTTCATGCCGTATGCCACTCGCGCATCACCTCCGCGTCGGTTAGTCATAGCCTTTGTAGCCCCGTATACTTGGCCGGTCATCGCGCGGTTTCAAGTCACGAACGTGGCATTACCTCTTAGTCGTGGATCGAGCCACAGTATCGATAAAGTGGGTTCTATTGACTGCGTAATACCGACCCATGCCTTTGACGCAGGGGCATCTTCGTGGGCAAGCATTCAGTGCGGTGCATGAGTAAACAATCATTGGAGTAGTGTGCTGGATTTCTTAGTTTCCACTGATGCTCATGTACACCTTTGTGGAAAGGCTTTTTCGTTACTCTCATATATTTTTCCACAGTCTGGCACTTGATGAAACGGTTACCCTACTTGGCATAACTTTCCAATATTGCCCTGATTATAATTCTCCTTACCACACCAAACTTGTAAGACTTTTAGCATCTGAACAAGTTTTCTAGTTTGGAGATGGACAAAATATTGGTTGAATTGAGAAGTTTCCAGCCCTACAATACCTAGCATTTTCGTTAAAAAGGCATAAAAAGCATTTGCTTTTAGTGCCTCTCCTAATGAAAATGCTAGGTATTGTAGAAAGAATTAGCTACGTAATATTTTTTCTATTTTTCACAAAGCTAATGGGTTGCATTAGAAGTACGGTGATGTTGGGCAATACGCTGGCCCGAGTACATTCAAAGGCACGAGTTGGGATCATATTGTTGTTTTTCAAATTAGTGTTCAAATTTTGTTTCAAAATTCTACAAGAAGTGCAATGAGGAGCGTTATTGGCGAGAAAAAGTATAAAGCATCACAGAAAACACCAAAATTTCCCGTGTAAGGGCGGAAGTGCTTCGACAGAGAGACTCAGTGCTGCGAAGAGAGGGAAAACGCGAGAGAGTACGTCACGCGCGAGAGGGCGTAATCGCCACGTGTCCTACGTTTGATAAGGATGTCAGCAGCAGCACACAGAGCAAGATCTTAGCGCCATTGCCTCGCACTTTAGGGTCGCGCCAGTGCCGCCCTCTTTCACTAGGGAATCCCTATTTCTCGCTCCAGTAGGAACGGTTTTCGGGAGCTACGGTCTTGCGGCTTTGAGGACACGGATCAGTTGTTCCAGATTGACTTTGACAGTGGTTAAATCGCTTGAGGTAGAACTGGTTGAGTTAATTATGTTTAAGAAACATAGTGACTAACCAGTAAAATTTATTCCGGACCAGAAGCATATGCTAAGCTTAGAAATATTCCGTAAGTAGAGTAAAATTCTGGGACTTTTTTGGAATACTCTCATCTTTAATGGATTTTGGTTTAGCTGCAGTGTTTTCAATCATTAGACTACTTTATCAATCTAACGGCCATCTTATCGTGATTGGAGCATTCAGGTGTCATCATAACAACACAAAACAAAATGGACAAATATCTTGGCATGCTCATTCGCCAAGCCCCTATTGAAAGCCAGTTCTTCAAGCGAATACATGACAATTTGAATGCGGAGATATCCTTAGGTATGTCTGGTTTTCTTGTATTTGGTCTTGCTCGGAACGCGATCTTTGGGTGTCCATTCATTGTTGAAGTCAGAGTTGTTGCCCTTTTGAACAAACACCCCCACGGGTGCGATTCGAGACAATCTCGCAAGATACGGGGCATCGTGATGGCAATGCAGCAACTGTGTAGACAGTTGTTGTTTTTGTTTCATACGAGACCAAGCCTGCTCTAGAGGAGAGTACGCTAGGTAGCATAGGCAATTTTCATTTTCTCCGAAGTTCCTGCCCCCTCCTGGGCTTAGTCCTAGTAGAGGATGCTATATCTCGCGATAGCGCCCACTCGTGTCAATACGGCTAGCAGGACGAAATACTTGGATTGCATCGGCAGAACTGTTCGAACAGTGGAGATATAATGGAGAGGTTTAACCCATAACGGACGGCCAGTGTATTTTTCGCGTGCGCCACCATGTGGCGCACGCCGCCACCGCAGGGTAGGGTCTATGTAGGCTTATGTGAACAGCAGGGGTAAGACGGAGCTAAAGTAGGTGTCGGAGTCTAATCATCCGGAAAAAGAGATTTCCGTTGACGACAAGTTCGTAGCCCGTCTTTCCGCCCTAAAACTAGGGTGCACAGAATGAATGGAAGCTGTCTGTGACTTATCGAAAAATGCGAAACAACAACCCCGAGCAAGAATGTGGCTACATTTAGGGGAAGGGGTCTCGGGACATGCGAGCCATGGGTAAGCCACCCATCAAATAGTAAACTTATATAAATTAAGACAAAATGTATGTAAAATTTATTGTATGTTTGTCAAAAATCCAGCCGTCCAGGTCCTGGGAAGATAAGTTATTCCACATTGCTGAGAGTATATATGGGTATGTTGCTAGAAACATTCCAAAACAAAAGAAATAGTCGTGCGCCACCTTGTGGCTCACGCCGTCCGTTATGGGTTAATACAACACTTGTTGCCCTACATACGATTCTTTCATGATTCAATCCCCCCCCCCCCACACGCACACGTTAACTGAGAAGGAGTGCTCTATTCATGCTATGTTAATAAATCTGTTCATGTGAATGGTGAAAGTCCAATACATCATGATGCGTCTGAATATATAGGTACCGTTTCAAATGTAGCAGAAGCTGTCGAATGGCTCACTTATACCTATTACTATACTAGAGCAACGCAGAATCCAATTGCTTATGGCCTCCCACACATGGTCCTGGATAAGGTGAGCTGAACACATCGCTTTGTAATACTTTCTCTTGGGACGGCTTGATGGCTTTCTCTTTGCTAACTTGACGAACCTCTTGATTTGCGGTCTTCCTGCTATTCCCTTCCTTTCTTCAAGGACCCCGATTTACGTCACCATCTAACGCGCATGGTTACTGATGTTGCCGTCAAGCTCGATCAGAACCAAATGATTCGGTTCGACAGTGTGTGAGTTCTTAAGTCTCAGCTTTTCTTTTCGGCCATCAAGGTTACTCACTATTTAGGAACGCTTTCATGCACGCGACCGATCTTGGGAGAATTGCGTCCAATTTCTATATCAAATATGAAACAATAGAAATGCTCAATGAAACCGGTAGGTCATGTAGCGGTTGCTTTCAGGTCAAACTCTGGTACTGGCAGATTTGTAACTTTATTTGTACTTTACTTCTAGGCCTTCCTGTATCGCTTAGTGCTTTCATGCCAGATGATATGGTACTTGCCTTAATATCGATGGCTACAGAGTTTAGCCAACTCAAGGTAGAGGAGCTCTTCTGTTTCAGATTTGGAAGTCTTTCTATTCTGGATAATAGCTAGAATCGGGCAAGATTTCCAACTCTTGTTTCGGTTTTATTATGCTTGCGAATATTCATTTTTAAGATTCGAGAGGAAGAATGTCTTGATCTCGAGGAGTTGATTAGCTGCGGTTGCGTGCTTCCGCTACGTGGTGGAGGGTTGGCAAGTGTCGCTGGGAAAGTGAACGTTTTATTGCAGGTAAACCAATGTCGTCCTATTAATCTGCATTCGGAAGCCCTAAGTTTCTCCATATGTTTGTTTTGGCATACTGGATTGCGATTCTAGCGTTTATTTAAAGGCAGTTCACGATGAAAAGGTAGCTCATTGAAAGTAAGGATAGTTGTGGTCGGTGGAGCAGAAATGCAGAACAAACCATTTCAAAATCCAATCGTTTCGCAGATTTGGAAAACAGATTCGAGATCAGCGTTCAAAAACACATCTACTGGTGTACAACTCGTCACAAATGGCCACTTCGACTTGGTATCCTTCCCTTGTCAGTCTTGGAAGGTGCAAATCGTACTACACTCCATGGTTTTGTTCACTTCGAGTTGCTCTTCAGTGTATTACCCAACTCCTTGTCGGTGCAACTCAATAGTTTTAAGACGAGGAATATTCACGTTTTCGAAAAATCGTTTCGTTTGAAAGCAGCGATGTGCGAAGTGGTTCTGATGACGTCATTGGACGTCTCTGGTGGAAAGTCTTTAGAGGCGGTCTCAAGCGCACTTTCCAGCGCACTGAGTAGCGGTTCACCAATGATCTTTTGTGGCATCATCGAGCACCGCCCTCCAGCCATCATGATCATTATCTTTATTCTGTGACAGTGGGGAAATTCAAAAATGCTGCATTAGACAAAAAAATACATGGATAATAGGAACATGGAGAAAAAAAAAGACGAAAAGCTTTACAAATGAAAGCGGTTTCGTGTTTACTCGCCCTACATGCCGATATCATTTTGATGAATCGTAACCATGTACTGCGATTTGGTGAGCCATTTCGTGAGAACCGAGGCGAGCGATATTTGTACGGAATCCCGAAAAGGTGGATGAGGAAAGGAGGGCCATCAGGCATAGCTTGGTTACCTCTATCATAAAAGAATATTAAATTTATGCGACGTGCTGATCGAATACAATACCCTTCACAGAATGTGAAAAACATGAGGGTGATTGCCAGTCGCACCTATCAAGAACCCGATCGCACATACCATAACTCGCGCTGAAAGCGAGATGAAACGGAAAAATTCAAAAATCGTATAGATCTCTCTTGTTTTTCTCTTCTTTTTCACAACGAGTTCCAGTGTGTTATGGTTCCGGGATCGGTAGAAGTAGGGTCACCAGGCTTGACCTTTTAAGCTGGGGCAAAATCCAATTCTGACCTCAAGTAGACACCCATTCGTGAGATTCCCATTTATGTGCGCACGTCAGTCTACCGCGTCGCACACCTCCTCTTTTTTGATGCCATTTTTATCCATGTTTCACAGTCGTTTCCCGATGCGAACTGAGTCTCTTCAATTTTACGACATTTTCAAATTGTTGAAAAGCGTATTTCATCAAAGTCTGGAGGAAATACGACCGAAAACGGCTACAAGATCTTGAACTAGGTGGTGTAAGCTGCCGCAACAACTTTGTTGTTATATTGGGAATGCAACAAAGCGCTCTTACTAATTTAGCTCTGATATCGGTATAGGTCACAATTCTTCGATGCCAGCAATCACTTTCTTCTTTTTGCGAAATTCGCGCTTAAGCCGACATGTATGACCAGCGAATCGATGCGTATTCCAAGGATATGACATATCTGTGCCGTAGTAATTCGCAATCGTGGCTGGTATTGAACAAACGTTAAGGTGAACTAGATGAGAGATCAGAACCTCACCATTTGGAAACAAATTTTACGGATCAGAGCATAAAGAACCTGTTCCAGAAATCATACAGTGGTACCTCGGCGCGTAGAATGCTATCCGATGATATGTCAGTTATCACCCAAAGACTACTTTGGCCCTTTTACTCGTTGTTGTTTTTCCGTTCGTGATCGCTAGCCAATGACCCAATCCTATTCTGACTCGTAATTACCTACGCTGCGAGGGTCAAATGCTCGGGTGTTATCACTCCTCTTCGAGCATTTTCGCTTCCGAATACACGCTTAAGCGTCCGTTTTTTCGAGAGCCCTCAATTCCGCCGTAGTTGAAGGAGTGGAGAAACGATCCACTTCTAGCTTGGGCCGGAAACGCCAGCGAATCCTCTTGTGGCAACAGCCAATGCAACGTTACTGGAATGCGGCTTTGGGCTTTTCAAAATTATGAACGACTGCTTCATCCTACGAGGTTAAGGCAAGTTCAAGTTTACTCTCTGTAATCACTATCTTTTGAGATGCGAGTATATAGCGCAAGGCAGCCACTAGTAATAGAGTCCCTTGCAAGACCCGCAGGTAGGGTAAAGGTCGTGAATTTCTGCTTTTTATGAAATTCATCAGTTGCGACTCTCATACCACTGATTCACTTTTATCTGTCGCCCCAAGGTGTATTATTATGCTGCCTAACTCTTCCTCCGAACTCTTCCCCGAAAACTCTGTCTGTCTCATAGCCTTCTCGTCTTTTGACGCGGAAATTAAATTATTACCAAAGATTGCGCCATGAGGAGAATTTGCCGTGCTCCCCATCCTACTTAGGCGGAGGCCAAACGATTCTCAATAGCTGTGTGCAACTTAATGTAAGAAAAGTCGCTGTCGGTCGAGGAGATTACTGCGCGCTAGCTGGGACAATTTCGCTCCGCCTGTCAGGGTTGGCCATGCAGATCTTCGAGAACTGTAGAACAAGTTGTTGAGATATAGAACATGCTAACTAGGCTTGAAACTAGTTTATCCGCTGAACGACCGTTCGACTTACCACGACCCTTTCGTGCGACTAGATCTAGGCCAACAGTTCCCCTTCGTAACATTGTTCAATCGACAGCAAAAAAGAACGATGTTGGAAAAGAGTTGATAAAGTGAAAAAGAGATGATCAATCCCGAATTCGTCAGTTATTTGCTTATATTTTTATCGTATACATATGAAAGTTGACCAAAATGAGATAATTTGAGGAACTGAATTACAACGACTGCCCCAGTGGGGAACCCCATGCAAATACCGTGCTAGAAAAAAAGAGAAAATCAAAAAAAATAATACGACACAAATCTACATAAGAACGAATGAGACAAAGTGAGTGTTAAATGAAACTCCCAGTTCTTCGTGCCCAATCCGGCATATTTTGAAAAGCCAATAGCGCCATTCCAGTAGTTGCATTGCTGTGCCACAGAGGATTCGCTGGCGTTCTCATGACCTAAGCTAGAGTGGATTCGCTTCTCCCTCCTTCTCCAACTACAGGAATCTGACGGGCTTCAAAAAAAACGACCTAGCGCGTTATTCGGAAGCCGACATGCCTCGAGAGAGAGTGATAACACCCGCGAGCATTGAACCTCGCAGCGTAGGTATTAGACGGTCAGCTAGAGATTGGTCATTGGCTAGCGATCACGGAAGGAAAAAAAACGGGTAGAAAACAAAGTATTCTATTGGTGTGATAAACTTATATATCATACGATAGCATTTTCGTTCATCGCGCGGACCAGTAAACTGGTATGAATTCAACACTAGTTCTTTATTCTCCTGTCCTAACTTTTCTTTTCAGAAGGGTGAGCGTATTGTCTCTTATCTAGTTTACTTGTTACGGTTTGTTCATAAGCCAGATTGCCAATCTATACGGCACAATATGTCATATCTTGGAATAACCATTCGATTACCTGGTCATACATTTCGCATAAGCGCAATTTCGCAAAGAAAAGAAAGTGATGTGCTCGACAAGACAGTTTGCGTATACGATATTTCAGAGCTGAATATGTAAGATCCGCTTTTGTCTGCATTCCAAGAAACAACAAAGTTTTGTGCGCAGTGATACACACCTAGTTCAAGATATTGTAGCCGTTTCGTCGTATTTCTCCAGACTTTGATGAATACGCTTTCCAAAATTTTGAAAATGTGCGTAAATTGAAGGGCTCGCTTCGCCGGGAACGACTGTGAACACATGCGATAAAATGCAGCAAAAAAGGAGGAGTGTGCAAGCGTAGCTTTTAGTGTGTCTTTATAAACATGCGGATCTTCGGAATGGATGTTTCTACCTGGAGGTCAGAATTGGATTTTGACCCAGCTTAAAGTAGAAAGCTTGCCGTGACCTATCTTAACCCGACCCAGCCCATAACACTCTGGAACTTGATATGTGAGGAACGCTATCCACAGAGTTTAAATTGTTCCGTTTCATTTCGCGTCTTCCAGCGGATTTATGACTGTAGCGACGGTCCATTGATAGTGTGCGAACGGCTACAGATCACCGTCATTTTTTCCACATTCTGTGAGCGGGTATTTGTATTCTATATCCATTATCAGCAGTCACATTTTCGCGAGTTTGTCCGCAGTTTGTCGCTGCATCGGAATCGCTCCTACGCTTCAGCAGACTGCGGGCGCTTGTGTCGGGCAATATTGAAATAGGTCTTGACGCAAGGAAGGTATGGGCGCAAGCGGCCAAATGCCTTTCTGACGATGTCGAAATTATGGAGAAGCGAGCTGGCCTAACCAAAGTGTTGAGGTGCGGGTCCTTTTTTTGCTTTTGTTCGTTCCTGCATTGATAGAATAAGAGTGCCGGAAAGCCACTCGCTTTTTGAGGTCTAATGTTATCTTGTTACTGTAAAAAGATGTCGAGTGTAGCCGTCGCACGCTGACTCCAGCGCACAAGCACAATGGTTTTGGGAAATTATGAGACAGAGCTATGCGAAATCCCACAACCTCTTCCGCCCCTTCGTTACGTGCACTACACCTACCAATTACTACTCTTTCTCGGCTTCCACTTAGTCTTATCCATTTTTCGCTGCGTCCTGCACTATCTCAAGGCCTAAGTATAACGGTCTCTGATTGGCTATCCCTGTCCGCGCCGCGTCTCACTTTAAAGGTAACTTCCTCCTTAGAATATTAAATATAAATTGAGACTTCGCCTGACAAACCGGCCGTAAACGACGGAGGAGTTCAAAGCGCTGCAAGGAGGAGGAGAACACGCAGGGAGATACGTCGAGCGTAAGGAGGGTGCAAGACACCACGTATGGAGCATTGAGAAGGATGCAGTCGGCGCATCAGAGCAGAGCTTAGCGGCCACTCGCACTTTTAGTCGCGCAGTGTCGTCGTC